TTGGAATCCGACTACCTAGCAAACGGGAAGCTATGCTTGACGTGGATGATGGGTAAGTTCCGGAGTAATTATTCGAACATGTATTTGTTCAGTATTTTTATCGTTTATTTGAATAGAATTTGTTGCAAAAAATCCGCAATAATTATGCATCAACCTAATATATCAGACTTCGCCAGTTCTGACGTGAGAACGGCTTGCGAAAGTGTGGCCTTGATAACTGGTGTGGGTGGTTAAGTTCCTCCCACAAAGCTCCGGCAAGAGTTTGTTGGGAAGCGTTTGTATGACCGTCTACCCCACATTGCATTACCTCACACGTATCATCTGTCCAAACGACGGAGTGAGAATGCATGGCGTCAGAAGTGGTCCATTTGATCACAGCTTGAGGCGACAAAGCCTGAAACTGCCTGGGAGACCATTGGTGGCAAAGCCACGAAAATGTAAAACTTGAGATGAGGCCAGGATTTTGATACGAGAGCCCACGACCTCCGCGCGGGAAACTTTGGAAGCATTTTGGATTGGTGCGAAAAAATTCGAGAGGTGGTTCAGGTCTTCTCCTCTATGCTCAAGGATGCTTCTCCATTGTGACTTACGAGATCTTTCTAGAGGGTTATATCTATGGGTTATATTCTTAACTTCCATGTTCTGACGAAGGGAATGACCGGAACGTTAGAAAAACGGAAAGCTCTATCGTCGTTGTTATGGTTTTAAAGGGTACATATCATGCCAAGACTCATCAAAAGTTGATCTTGATAATTGAAGCCTTCGACATATGCAGTGATCCCACTGAACACATGAGGTTGTAGATCATATATGTATATGTACACCAGTCGGGCCGCCCGGCTTCCCACCTTCTAATGGTAGGATTGCAATAATCGGCAAATCGACCCCCCCCCCCCTTATTTGCAACAAATGATATTTTCGGAACACGAAATTCGACAGAGGACTAATAGGGCATGCGATATCTATTCAAAATGAGCCGATGTTGATGCCTATGATTAGAAGCCCAAATCTGTTACTGTTCATCTTAAACATAATGACCCATTGGAGGTTCAACCCTAGACAACCAAAGCTCTGGATGGTTCTTACAAATGTTATCGAACCATACATTACCAAATGTATTTATCAATAAAGCTTCCTTTCTCTACGGATACATCCATTAAAATGAGAATGCAAGGTTATCAGCGGTCTGATAAGTTTTGCCAAGAATGATACAGAAGAGAAGAGGAACAGTCATTCTTCATTGATTGGCAAACTCTGCTGGGTAGCAGTCGTGACCTAACAGCAAGAAATGAACCAATTTACATTTCCTTGAAAACTGGTGCTCCAAGTCGGTCCCTATCACTGCACTTACCCTTCTTGTCGATTGGAGCATATCAAAGAATCAAAGCTAGATCATAAATAACAAAGGCGTCGGATTTGATGAGTGGATCCTGTTTTCTAAGATGACTTCCATCGTCAGTGTTCCCTCCTGACTCCTCTACTCCTATGGGGAACCCGCACCTTGTAGGTAGAATCTGGTTCTGCCACCCAGTGTTCCCATCCCGCCGCGTGTTCCCTACTGAGCTTGAACCTGATCCTAATAGCCAGATTGGCAATTTTCACGCGAATTCCGCCTCCTGTGGGCAGAGTCGGATACTGCTACCCTCGATAGGTGGTCACATCCTTTCACCTTTACTCCTTCCAAATTTGAAAGCTCTAGGGCCAAATTGATAATTTTCGCGTAAACAGCGCCCCCTGTGGGCGGAGTCAATCCAGATCCTACTATCATCCTTCGCATCCCTCACACGGGACTGTTCAACATTTTAAATGACAATTTCACCGGAATTCAGAGTGATCTTTGAACTTGACTACATCGTTCTGCCTGCATGTGGAAGGGAAGCGAGTTGTTCAGTGGGGGAGATTTAAAGATGAATCTCGCAAACTGTGTCACAAGAGGATTGATAATAAGGTCGTTCAAGCAAGGCGTTCGTAATCGGTAGGGAAGGTTCTAAAAACTGATGGAGAGCGGCAGCCAGCCGTCATGATCACGTGGCAGGTGTAGAATGGACTGATAGGATACGATTTGTTAGCTCCCTCATTGACTCCCCACAGTGACAAATGAAGATGTTTCTATCGCTCTTCGAGAAAAACGATGATCAGCGGGTGACGGGTGACACAGGTGATGTCTCTTTGTGAAAATTGTGAATGTTTCGTTAAGATCTTACCCTCTCGGTGTTAATATATTTCGCAAAAAAAAACGCTACTTCTTATCTGCGACGAATCTAGGTACAGCTTCAAGAGTAGCTCTTTTTGCCACAGTATCACGAGAAAATTGAATATTGCGGTGTTCGGATATCATTGGGAAATGCCGTGCAAGTCATCATTTACTGGAACATTCTAGAGTTTCCATAGTGACATTACGAAACGACAATACCTGCCTGTTAAGACCTGCAGGCTAGAACGTGCACCTCTTCACCTTCCTTCTACTATACCTTTATAATTCAATTTGGTTGTTGAGTGCTCAAGATGAACGGAGCAGTGGTCGCATCACAATTTCTATAGTACTTTTTGATTGTTAGACAGATGAGATAGGAACTATTATGAATGAAATTTCCGAAATCTTGAAAAAGTTAAGTCATCAGCGAGTCATCTATAATAGCTCGTTCTTGAAACTCTCTAGGAGGGATAGTCGTTTTCGGTGAGGTCGAGGTCTCTGTAATCTCTCTTTATTATACATCGTCCCTGAATTTCCTTGCGTAATGTGCTTACAGCTTTTTATTCTGTTATCCACGACAAACTGAATTTCACTTCTTTCTAGGGGAGTCAATGAGGGAGCCAACAAATCATATTTCATCAGTTTAGCCTACACCTGCTACGGGATCATGACGACTGCCGCTCTCCATCAGTTTTGAGAACCTTCCCTATCACAAATGCCTTGCTTGAATGACCTTATTATCAAATGAGTACCTTCCGAAGTGTAACTCCTCCTGTGACAGATTTTGTGAGATTCATCTTCAAATCTCCCCCACTGAACAACTCGCTTCCCTTCCACATGCAGGCAAGACGCGATGTAGTCGAATTCAAAGATCACTCTGAAAACCGGTGAGATTGTCATTCAAAACGTTGAACAATCCCGTGTGAAGGATGCGCCAGCATTCGACCCATTCAGAACCGTAGTGGTTTATTAATTGCGTGGATAGGCTTTGCAATGACTTGCGGTTTCCAGCCGAAGCACAAGTCTGCTCTTTATCCTCCCAGACAGATCTGGTAAAATTCAATCGATTCCAGAGCGATGGATGGTTTGATTGGCCTGGGCGGATATCGAGCTGGGATTCGAGCACTGACTATGCATGTGTGATAGTGCACCACTTGCCATATATGGCCAAGGGACATTGACGTACATAGCTTTCTCGTACTACCTAAGAAAGGCTTTTAAAAAAACTACATCGCTCTTACAGCTTTACACTATTTAGATTCGTTTCTCTTTGAAATCGGTATCACTTTAATTTTCACACAGATTGGAAATTCCCTCTGAACCTGCGTTTCCGTTTCTGACCACATTCGCTCAAGGACTAGCTTACGCATATTGTTTCAAAAGGCCGCTTGAGAAAGTTTGAGACTTCAGCTTCAGTATACTCCATGCAGTCACGTCCCCTTTTTTTGGCCCTCTACTGAATAATCTTCTAACAGTCCCCTCACCTCTTTGTCTTTTTGTTTAATAATAGCCATAGACGTCTAACATTTACTTCTGAAAAAAAAAANAAAAAAAAACCTTTCCAGCTAAAATGCTTACTAATGTCTCACAGTAACTCTCGATTGAATCCTGTCATTTCGTTCACGTCTTCGCTTTCACTAGACATTAAAAGACTGACACAGTTGAGAAGAATTAACCTACTCTCATGAGCCGCTTTGATTGTTGTTCGATCTTTCCAGTGCTATGTGTAAAGGTAAGAACTCAGAGCTGTTGGATCTTTCAGTATAATCACCCCGATTTCTGTATCTCAGCAAAGTAAGGTAGAATTTATCATCTTTATGTGATCTTTTTGTGGAGGTGTGATAATGATTGCTCTCAGAACGGATGCCCATTACAGCAATGTTAAACTGCATACTATTGCTTCCCAAAGCTTACAAAATTCGAGACAAAATCACTGACTTTATATACGAGAACATGAGATTACGTTGGCTAGAACCATTCTTAGACTGAGTGAACAATCACGATTTTTTTTGGTACATTGGAGCAAAGCTTGACCTCTACGATTTCAGCTGATTCTTAGGCCACTACCGAAGCCTGGTCTATCCTTTGAGCTTGCTCTTTGAAGGAACTTCCCATGGAATTCGAGATGCACCTTGTCGAATCCTTAATAAGCAATTCATGCTTGATCTTATTTGTAATATTTCTCTTAAGGTCTAACAAGATCATTTGGAATGGCTTAATTTACCTTTTCTTTGGCTGTGAGGCTGTGAGATGTCATTTTTTGTTGTTGTCTAGCTGTGAACGCGGAAGCCTTCACAAGCGGTTTTTACTTTTACAATGAAGGTTGACTTAATGCGTATCTTATATCTAGGCGACATGTTATCCTCCATATCACAAACGGTTACGGAAGCAGTACTCGCATCCATTTATTTGTTTATTGTTGTTGTTATCCTCACAAGTAAGACAACAGTATTTCGAAATGCCTTCTTTATTTTATTTGTAGCAACAGGTGAGAGCTGCTACTCAACTTTTCTAATGGGGTTTAGATGGGAAGGAGATAGAGCAATTAGGAGCTCTGTAACGAGCATGCAACGAGATAGGAGACACGCTTCTAGGGCCTTGAGGTTGGAGTTTGTGCATAAAGCTTTTATGCACAATTTATGACACTCATCAAAGTCAAAGGTCTGACCTCGTACTGACATATCTTGGCCATACCCCTGAAAGAGTTTGCTTCCAATCCACTTATCACCGGTGGGATGGAAGGCACGTGCGAGTATCGTTAGTCCGAGGATCGCTTCCCGGACGAAGCTTGTGCGTAACAGCTTCTTTATCTACAGTAGCGCTCAAAAGTATTCGGCGAAATGCTTCTTCAGTTTCACTTTCCAGTCGTAACTTTTTTCCTACTGGATCTAATAATGCTGAACTTCAATATCTACTATTAACCTGCAATCTGATCGTGCTCTAGATATACCAAAGGGCTTGGACTTAAAAACAACTGGAAACAGGGACACTGGTACTTCTAGGATTTCTTTTCTTTTTGCCATGTCCAAAGTGTACGAGCGCTAATGTCGAACACTGTAAAGAAGAATAACGCACATAAGGTGCGAATAACTGCAGACGTCACTAACTTTGTTTGAACGAAGTCTGCTACCGCAAAAAGCACCCGGCTCTCAGTTATGTGGATTTTGCTGCATTGCCGTCAAACAGGGTTGGATGGTGTGAATTATACTTTAGTCAAACATATCAAAATTTGGTGCGATTTGCTCCATGAAGAAAAAAGTTATGAACGAAAAAGCGTGAAAGGGTTTGCCGAATACTTTTGAGCGCTACTGTAGTACAAGGTTTACCCATATCTGAGCAAGAATGCGACCAACGCTTTATTGAATGAATTCGAACGTCAAACAGAAATTGTATGATGTTCACTCTTTCCACTTAGGCCTTTCTGACTTGGTGTCATTTCTCGCAAATCTTTTTCTTCGGCTCAATCGTGAAGTTGGGCTAAGCAAGGCATACGAAAATATTGTATTCTTGTGCATGATGGTCAGAAGTACAACGTTTGTTGCCCATTTAATTGGTAATATGTTGCTGACGTTTAATCGATACTCTGCAGTTTGTCTCCTGTCAAGACATCATGAGGTTAGTTCCATTTCAGAACGGTATGTTTTCTATAGTATATCATATCTACTGCAAATACATTCTTATCTGGTTATAGTTATTTCAGATTTGGACTCGCCGAAATGTGGTCATTGCTATTTTTGTTCAATATCTCCTAGCTGTTGCACCTTTCGCACACCTTGTTGGAACGAAACTGGTATATATCAAAAATACAGATGGAACAGTCACATTCGAAGGCTTGGAAAAGAACGTCAATATGGTAGGCTCTATACAAAAAAAAATCAGTCGGATCGCCCAGCTAATGCCGAGCTTCCCTCTTTCTCCGACTAACTCCCTACACCTTCTTTGAAACAAATAACATTCAATGTACACGAAATTTGACACAGGACTAACAGGGCAGTGCAAATGGTATT